TATTATTTTTTTTATTTTTTAATTTGGGGGGGAGAAAAATTGAGGATATTCAAAATGAAAAAGAAATCATACCTCACGTGAAGTCTATTGTTTTGTAAACATCATTGTTATATGATATGATTAATTAGTGTTAATTAAATCATGCCAAATAGCATCTGACTCATATAAATCCACCAATAGAATTTCACCCGTTTAGCTTCTTATACAACAGTAGCTTGCATCCTTAAACCACATAATTATTATAGTGAATATGATTTTAATTTGCTTTGCTTTAAATGGGCCCAAAAGCCCATCTTGCACCAGATAAATTTGGGCTCAACCGCTAAGTCTGGCCCAATCGACAGTGTTCATTAAATATGGGCTGCTCAAATTGGGTTCAATCGTAGGGATGTTATAAATCCCAATTTACGGGCCGGGTATGTTACATGAAATTTATAAATATACATAAAAACCTTACAAAATTCTTTAACCCCTTTTATCAATAATTTTTTTTTTTTTGGGTCAGAATATCAAAAGGCCTGAAGTCGGCCCCAAAATCAAGCCTTTTTCCCCGGCCCTAAAGCTGGGCCTTAGGTAAAGGTATGCAAATGAAAAAAATTTGGAAGTTGACGGCGAGAACGAACTTCGACACAACTATGGTTTCGTCGTTGTCACCGCAGCAAGCAATCTCTGACTCTTCTTTCTTTCTTGCTGTCTCGCAATCGATCGCTCTGGAAACCCTAACCTTGAGTTAGCTCATGAAGAAAACCCCCAAAATTAGCTCTCAGAAGCCCTAACCAGTTCGCAGAATTTAAAAAAATTATGGAGCCACCACTGCTCTCAACGAGCTATACACTCTCTCCGCCGCCGTCTTCCGATTCTGACGGCGATATTCCTGACGCATGGTACGGTAACATTCAATACCTGCTTAACATCTCGGCCATCGGTCTTTTCTTCTGCGTTTTTATTTTCCTCTTCGTAAAGCTTCGCAGCGACCACCGTTGGATCCCCGGGCCGGCAGCTCTCGTGACAAAACTCCTTGCTGTATGGCACGCCACTTGTCGTGAGATAGCCCGGCATTGTGGGGCTGATGCGGCCCAATTCCTCCTCATCGAAGGCGGTAGCTTTGTTGTTCTTTTATCCATCGCTGTTTTGTCAATTCTCGTATTGCTTCCGTTGAATCTTTACGGTGGACACGCTGTGCTGCATGATCAGTTCTCCAAAACGACGATAAATCATATTGAAAAAGGTTCGGTTTTGCTTTGGATACATTTTTTATTTGTCGTTTTGGTTGTTTGTCTGGTACATTTAGGAATGTATGCAATTGAAGAACGATTAAAAGTGACTAGGTTTAGAGATGGGAATGGGAATTTGAGTGACCCAAATGCGAACTCAACAGCCATATTTACAATTATGGTTCAGGGTTTACCTAAGAGTTTAGGTGATGATAGAACTGTCTTACAAGAGTATTTTCAGCATAGGTATCCTGGGAAGGTTTATAGGGTTATTGTACCGATGGATTTATGTGCATTGGATGATTTAGCTACTGAGTTGATTCGGGTCAGAGATGAAATTACTTGGTTGGTTGCTCGGATTGACTCTAGACTTTTACCTGATGATGACGAAAATGTAGATGAGGGATTGTTGGGTCGGGTTGTTTATGGTTGGAAGAAAGTGAAATACTTGTGGGGGAGGGTTATGGATAGGTTAGGTTACACAGACGAAGAGAGATTGAGAAAATTGCAAGAATTGAGAGCAGAGTTGGAGACTGAACTGGCAGCTTATAAAGAGGGCCGTGCACCAGGAGCTGGTGTTGCATTTGTGATGTTTAAGGATGTATACACTACGAATAAGGCTGTTCAGGATTTTAGGAATGAGAAGAGAAGAAGAATTGGGAAGTTCTTTTCGATTGTGGAATTGAGGCTGCAGAGGAACCAATGGAAAGTTGAACGAGCTCCGTTGGCGACAGACATCTATTGGAACCATTTGGGATCAACAAAGATGTCACTGAGACTAAGGAGGGTGCTTATGAACACATGTTTACTGTTGTTGCTTTTGTTTTTTAGTTCTCCTCTTGCGGTTATTAGTGCTGTGAAGAGTGCTGGGCAGATTATTAATGCTGAAGCAATGGATAATGCTCAATCATGGTTGGCTTGGGTTCAGAGTTCTAGCTGGCTTGCGTCGCTGATGTTTCAGTTCTTGCCAAATGTTATCATATTTGTGAGTATGTATATAGTGATTCCTTCAGCTCTTTCTTATCTCTCCAAGTTTGAACGGCATTTAACTGTGTCTGGAGAGCAAAGAGCTGCACTTCTGAAGATGGTTTGCTTTTTTCTTGTAAACCTCATCCTATTAAGAGGACTGGTTGAATCATCCTTAGAAAGTGCCATCCTGAAGATGGGCAGGTGTTATTTGGATGGAGAAGATTGCAAGAGGATTGAGCAATACATGAGTGCATCATTTTTGTCAAAATCATGCCTTTCCTCACTTGCATTTCTGATCACTAGCACTTTCTTGGGAATATCTTATGATTTACTGGCTCCAATCCCTTGGATAAAGAAGAAGATTCAAAAGTTTCGGAAGAATGACATGCTTCAGCTGGTTCCTGAACAAAGTGAAGACTACCCATTAGAAAATCAGGACAGTGGCAGTCTTCGGAGGCCGCTGATTAATCAAAGTATGTTTGACTCTCCCAGGATAAACGGAATTGATCCACCAGGACAAGTTCTTTCTGAGTATCCTCCAATTAGCAGAACCTCACCAATACCCAAGCAGACATTTGATTTTGCACAATATTACGCATTTAATTTGACAATATTTGCTCTGACCATGATATATTCATCATTTGCTCCACTTGTGGTCCCAGTTGGTGCAGTCTATTTTGGGTATAGGTATTTGGTTGATAAGTACAACTTTCTTTTTGTATATAGAGTCCGGGGTTTTCCCGCTGGCAATGACGGAAGGTTGATGGATACTGTGTTGTGTATCATGCGGTTCTGTGTGGATTTATTCCTTCTTTCAATGCTCTTATTCTTTTCAGTCCAAGGAGACTCCACAAAGCTGCAAGCCATATTTACTCTTGGATTGTTGGTGTTATACAAACTATTGCCTTCTGATAACGATAGTTTTCAACCTAGTCTTTTGGAAGGCATTCAATCTGTCGATAGCATTGTAGAAGGGTCAATTGATTATGAGGTTTACTCGCAGCCCAATTTTGATTGGGATACATATCATTTGTAATTTGGTGACATTGACTTGTATGGTTAATATGAAGTGTGCATAACATTTATTTATTTTTTGGCTTTCCTCTTGTATAGAGAAAGAATTTCCCCAACTTGATTTCAGTTTCAATTGATAAAAACATAGCTCAAGTCTAACCATTTCTTTGTTTCTGTATGATGAGAAGCTATATTTCTTCTGCATACTTGGTTACACAAATACAGTTTTTTTCTGCAAAGGGATCATAGGAACAAGACTTCCATTATAATGTTTGAGGTGTCAGCTTTGAAGTGCAGAAACTGCTTCATTTAATGTCAATGTAGCTGTAATTTATTAATTTGAAAAAGTCATTGTTTGTGGCCTGTTGGGTTCTGTTCTTGATTGCTATCTTTCTCCTCCATTTCACTAAATTTTGTTTGTATATTTGTCGTTTGGAAAATTGTTTAATAGGGTATTTATAATTTTAGGCTGAAAATGGAGTCACCTGTGAGAATTTAGGCCTCCCAAAAACTGCCTAATCGGATAAGGTAGTTGAAATTATGAAATTTCCTTAAATCTTGAGGAAAATCCTTAGAAATTTCCTTAAATCTACAAGAAACCTCGTGTAAAGAGTTGGTGAAATCAAGGGGAAAAAAACAGGTAAATGTAAACGAACGATTGGATAAAACTATCTTCAATTAAATTAAGAACGTAGTAAAAAAAACTTAATAGTCAATGTCTTAGATTTTAAGTAATGTATGAGGCTATCAGATCAGAATGTATTTAATTGAGTTACGAATCTTCTTTGCTTCTTCAATTCTAGAAGACTTGTTTCACCAGAAAAGTGCGGGCTAGATGAATGCAATTTCCAAGCCCAGTAACGAGTTGACAATCGGACAATTCACAATTGTTAGTCAATTTCAACTTTAAGATTGAAATTGACTAACAATTGTGATCAAACGAAGTGGTCAAAATTGTCTGCTGAACGAGATTTTGATCCCTTCGAGTAATTGCAAAAACGTTAGGCGAGTTTTTGATTTTCATGCTTCTGTTTGCTGGTCCATCGACTAAAAACCTATTATTTAACATCCATTAGATTTTCCTAACACTATTGATTCTTCGTCAAAAATACTATAGTTATAATCCAATCTCATAATCTTCTCTTACAATCCTAATGTGATAGCAGAATTAACATTATCACGTTTGCTAACGACTTGAACTAAACATGAACGACCGTTCTTTAAAGATGAACTATCGTTCCTTAAAGACGAACTATCGTTCCTTAAAGACGAACGACCGTTCATTCATAAGGAATAAATTTTCCATTCACAAGAAATAATTATTTCTTATGAAAGAACGACTATTCGTCCCTAAGAAACTATGTTCATGTGCCTTGAGTGTGATGGAAGCTAACATGGCAGTTACTAACTCAACTACCACATTACAATTATAAGAGAAGATTGTGAAGTTGAATTGTGGGCATAATATTACTCTTGATTCATATGTATGCTGTAGGTGAAGTTATTTGGAGTGAAACTACAACTAAACAGCCTTTAAAACTATTCATTATAGAAACTGTCAACATTTCAAATACAATAATCGATATGTCGCCTCTAATAAATTGTAATACGGGAAAGATATGAACAATAAGAATGGAATAATGCGATATAATATAATTATGTACACTATATCCATGCGAAGGATCGATATTATCTAGCATGATCATGACTCTAGAAAATTTTAAGAAATATAAGATTCTCTGACGCCGGAGTAAACTAGGACCCAAGGTAACTTTCTATTAACATAAGATACAAGAAGCCTAAAATCACTACCATGGAGAACTGCAAATAGGTTGAGAAAGAAATGAGCATGGAACAGCTAAAACAATAGAACCATTAAGAAGACAAATCTGAATAGAGAGAGAAAAGATATACGGCTATGGTAAGAAAGCGATGCTTCTGAATTTTGTGAATGGTTTCTGGTCTCTCTATTTGAATCTGTACTAGAGTTGTGCCCCAGTCCAGCAGCAACAGCTGGAGGAACAGAGGTAGCATGTGGTCTGACTGGGAAATTATATGAATCGTCAACGTCATAACCTGCACAAAGTACAAAGGTTTTGGCTTTACATTAACGTTATGAATGAAAACAAGGGAATAATATATTTGTGACAGAAGGAGATACTTACAGTCGAACTTCTTCCAGCCCAAGACAAGTCTCTCTCGATCGAATACGACCCGGTAGCCAGTCATAAAGTGTTCTGTACAGAAATCAATAATGGCCAAATAAGCAAACAAAATCAGTTCATTAAAAAGCTTATTTGAATTCTTTATCAAGTGAAGAAGTCCACAGTACTAGACCGACACCAAAGCCTAATAGGATTATCAATGTCAATATAGGTTACACTAAGCAACAAAAAACATAAATTTACATTTGTTAAATGGCCATGAGGTTTTACATCCTACTAGATACAATAGTTGTCTACAGCTTAAAAGATTATGAGGTAACCACTACACACACACACACACACACACACACACACACACACATATATATATATATAATATCAAATGCAATTTTATAAGACTTACGTCCAATTATATTCAAATCTGTGCTCTTGATAACAGCCAAACAATATACAAATCCACCCTGCAAGATGTTGTAGTATTAGTTTTTGGTTAAAAAAGTAAACTAGGATGCGAAACAAGAATAAGAGATAAAAAGACTGGGAGCAAAATACTACCTGAGAGTTGAGAGCAATTATTGGTTCATCGACAGCAAAGTGGCTTCCACCTTTCATTCTCAAACTCAATTTGGGTACCAAACTAGTATTTGCATTAGGACTGTACATTACAGAGAAAAATATTATGGCTAATGTGGATAGAAATGTTGAAAACAATAAGAATAAGACTTAATATGACCTCATATCATAGCAATACTCAAAAGGGATTTTTGGATCAGGTGGATGCCGTCTATCTTGTATCTGAGAATGGAACTGCACGAAAGGTGTAAACAGCTTAGTTCCGCACTGGATATATGGGCAAAAGAAAACAAGTAATGTCAATCGCTTACGTTCTCTGAAAGCTTTGTATAAGTTGGGTCAACCAAATATGTAAAAGAGGTCCCAGTATCAAAAAGAGCCGTCAAATCCACGTCAATCAAAGTTATTCCCAATTGAATTTGAGTCACAGTAATGCTATAATTTGGGCTACAAAGCATTTACAGAGTTAATTAGATGATAAACTAGATAAAAGGTTCCATTGAAAATAAATGTAAGACTAAATTCAAAGACAAACAGCATTAAGTAAATGAGAAATTACCACTTACTGTGATGGGTTCACATTAAATGGAGTCTCTTCCTGGTCAGGACTACCCATGTCTCCAAAACTAATTCTTCCAGTAGCATCATGCCCAAAACACATGGAGAAAGAATTTGCTGTAAGACCATCCCTAGATAATATACTGGGAACTGATATCTTCTCCATACCAAGCCCAAATAAACCATTTGGAGCTGCAATGTCCAGAAAGGAGCCACTCTGAACCTGTCCACAGCTGCAAAGTCCATGGAGCACTGTCATTTTAACCTAGAGAAGGATTTGAAGAGACAAAGGACCAAAGCATTCTACTTAATAGACAAAGCTGAATGAAAACCTAAAACAAAACAATAAAACAACTAACCCAAATGTGACATATGCCTCAACAGATTCATGATTATTATCTTCTCTTGTTAAGTGCAGAACATCCTCTACCAAAACACCAGAGGTAGAAGTTTGAGCTGAGACATAAGAAACTGAGTAAGGGCAACTGCTGATTGTTCCAGGGCATTGATTACGTTGTTCACACAAACTGTTGTCGCAGGTGACATTTTTGCTAGTTGACGACCCTTCAGGATTGTACATAGTGAGTTTAAAATCCTGCCACAATAAAATAATACACATTTTAAAAGCAACGAAGAACATCAATCTAGACTGCCATTTTTTCTTTAACCTCATGCTTAATATGGCATTCCACTTAAAGAGTACCAATCGTACCAGTCTAACATCCTAATTCAAAGGAAAAACATGTACATGTTGAACAAATATGTGCCTTCAGTACCATTTCTTAATTGAATTCTTTATAAACAATAAAGAAAACATTTATTTAGCAAGTTTGGGTAACCCAATTACTATTTTCTTACTCTTTATAAACTGCCCACTACACTTATTATGATAATGTGCGAAATTACATTTGTAATAAAGAATTCGCATCCGTAACATCAATATAATGTGAAAGGTACTGATATAATATTGCAGATGACCAATATTATGTTTTAGGCTACTAAAGGCCATTATCTCAGTATCATTACCAGAATTTCTCTCGTATCAATTATGAAACTAAAACATGTTATGTTTACATCAAATTATAATGACAATTTAAAAAAAAAAAATAATAAATAAAATCTTGCGGTAAACCTTGACTTCTCGTAACAATAAAATAATTTCTCCAATAAATCAAGAAATTGAACAGAAAAATCAAAAGATTAAAAATGCAGATGAACTAACTGAAGCATAATTAGAATCCTGAGTGGGCGCACATCGGTTGCATTGACAAGGCACCCAAAACAAATCACTTCCCGTGTCAAGGGCAACCATAAACTTCACTCCAGGCGTCCCCAATTGAATCGTCGTGTAATGCAAGCTAAAAATTATATATCACGAAAAAACAAAAAAAACGTAAATCAAGAACTTTCAAAAAGGAAATGTATTTAACTAAATAAAAGCAAAATATATACTTACAATCCTAATGAGTTGATTTGCAAAGTAGAGTTCCCATCGGCGAAAGAAAGTGGTGGCTCGTTAGTATCAGCGAGGTGACGACCACGTAGAAGCCGATCGTGGTGAGCCAAAACGGCGTAGTATTCGTAGGTACCTTTGGGCTGCCAATGAGACGAGTTAAATAAGTTCTCGATAGACTCGGAGAAGCGGTGGTGCATCTTGAAGCTGAAGATGCGGCCATTGATACAGATTGGACCGAAAAAGGCCGCCCAGATTAGGAGCAAGAAGAGAAAGAATTTCAGGAAACAAGAAGTCATTTGATTGATTAATTAAATTTCAATAATACGAAATGGGGAAAGTTGAAACCCTAAAATTAGATCTTGGCTTGTTAAAAGAGAGCTTCAAGTTTGTTGGGGAGAGTGGAACTGTACAGGCATGTGCAGAGAGTGGGACCGGCTTTTGACAGTTGATTGAGGTGGTTGAAAGGGCGGGATTCTCTTTTTTTGATCGTTTTGTCGTTTTTTATTTTTATTTTTTTTGTCGTTTTGTACTTTTGTTAAATTAGAGATATCTTATTTCAATATTTATTTTGGCTTTCCTATACAAGGCCATGAAAAAATTAAACGGAAAATTACCAAAAACCTTTATAAAGTATAAGGACTCCGTCGGTAGTAACCCAGATGGTTTAGACAAATTCGAAATAATATAAGTGGATGCATGATCTCAAGTTCGATTGTCGTTTGAGCATCCGCAATTTAAATAAGACAGTTTTCAAACTCACTTTGCTGCAAAGAAAAGCAAATGGAATTTATGAGAAGGGAAGAAGGATTGTAAGGCAGGCCGCAGGCAGGCGTAGGAGTGAAAATTGAGCTCAGCCGCTCGCGAGCGGTTCAAGCTCATCTCGATTTTGGCTTAAACTCGTCTCAGCATTAGTCGAGTTCAAGTTCAAGTAATTCAAGTAGTCATTTGAGTCGAGTTCGATCACAGTAGAATTCAAATTCGAATAAAACTTAACTAAAACTCGATTATATGAACGTAAATTTCAATTTCAGGTACCGAATTCAAGTTCAAACTCGATCAGGCTTAGAACTTGAACTAGAATTAGGTATTGTAGCACTGGAGTTGAGTTCTAGATACTCATACTCAATTTCACCCCACAGACGATTTATGAAATAAAAGAAAACCAAGCTCACATTCCAGAATCTAAACACAAAGGATTTTATAATGCAGCCAAAACTTAATGGAGAAACTAGAAAACCTCAACAAAACAGAAACAAAAAGTGGAAATCAAGAAACCATTTTCAAAGCCAATAACCTTCCAATGCCGATTAATATATACAAAAGGCACATCTGGGTCTGTTTCATTTCATACTATTTACAAAGACGAGACGTTAACATGAGAAAAATACAACATACTTGATACTAAATTACTGCTACAAAAAGAAAGACCTCAAAGTGGGTCTGGTCTGGTTTCAGGGTAATAAAAATTCACATTCTAACAATGAATTAGTGAACACCTTAAATTTAAATCCAAATTTTTCTTAAACTAATAGCTCAAACTGGTGAGGCAGAAGTGATCCCAAACTTATCAGAAAGTTTGGTTCTTGTAAATGGTGAAAGTAGCTCCATCTGATGAATGAACTGCACATCATTCACCAAAGGGTTTTCAGTTCTTCTTGGAGGAGATCCTGAGTAGCAAGATGGGGAGCACCCACTACAAATTGATTCCTTTCCTTCAATTTGCTGCAACCAACAGTCAAATTGTGTTCAAACAAAAAACAATAAAGTTAAAAAAGCAGAAAACATTAAATGAACTAACTACCACTAACCTTCTCACCAACCATGTTTAAAACTTCCATTCTTCCATCAGCATTCACTTGGCTGTTACCAAAACAACAAACAAGAGAACTGTGAGACAAATACATGTAAAACTCTAATCTAACAATTCATCGATCAAACAAACCTGTGTTTGTTGCATCTGTGGGGCTTGAGAAATTCAGGAATGGCAGGGCTCGGCCGGCGAGGTTTCGGGCAAAGTGGCCGGACGTTTGTCTCTTTGCCGGACTCGATATTCTTAAGATTGCTTTTAACTGGCTTGAACTGATGCATATTTTCTGTCCTTTTACACTTCAATGAAGAAGGAGAAGAAAAAAGAATAAGCAAATGCAAGCCCCATCTGAGCACTAGAGAACATAATGTGTATATATATATATATATATACACAGAGATAAAATGGTGAGTGATTAACAATTGAACTCTTCTGAAATCAGGCAGAGAAAGAGAAAGAGAAATACAGAGAGAAGAGAGAGAGTTGGAAGTGAGAAATAAATCAGCGATAAGTGGAGGCAAACTGAAATGAAAGTGAAAAGGAGAGGGCTATAAATTTGCTTGGCTAAGAGTGGATTTAGGATGTGACTGTTTCTTCTCTATTTCCCAGCTTGGCCTACTTTTCCTTTCGTCCAAGTGAGTTTATGTTACCTTAAATTACCATCTTCTGTAAATTAATTAATTAATTAACAGATTAAATTATGAGCTTAATTAAACAGTAACTATGATCATCATGAAGGCAATCCTCATATTTGCAGCATCCACCGCCGGGTGTTCTGGACCTTGTTTTTTGCTTACAAACCTTCGTATTTCTTGACAATTGACATCACTGTGAGCTAAACTTATAATTATATACCATACCACGTTAATGTGTATAAGTTTCACGTGCATTGTAATATACCTTTCACGCACGTTTTACATTCTTCTTTCATAAATCTAACGTTAATGTATGTAGCTTTTACATGCGTCGTGATGTTTTTTTTTTTAATGATTGGGATGTTCGGACCAGTTTGCACGCATCGTAACTAATCTTTTAGGCAATGTTCTGAAAATCAGATCGGGCTATCTGGTCGGACCGGTTCGATCGGGAGCCGGTAGTATTTCCGGTCCGGTATCTCAAAAAAACCGACCTTCACCGTTAAACCGGATTGAGCTGCGGTTGGAGCGCTATAATACTGCCGAGTCGCAGCTCAATCCCGCCGGATTACGGCATCGTTCGATGGAGAAAACACCACCATTTGACGTGACGACATCTCCACGACCAAACCCATCCATTTTCAATGGTCGTCGTCCAGCCTTCATCGCTCGTCGTCCACCTAAAGTTTAAGCGACCGTCGGATTTCTTTTGTTGATTCCGGCGAGTTCTAACGCCGATGGAACTCACTAGCACCACCATCAGATTCGCCGGCATCTATACATTAAAAGCCCCATGATTCCAACTTCGATTGGCCATCGATCGTCACTGCCGCCACCACTCACCAGTCTCTTCATGCGACATGGGTATTTTAGACAGATTTCAAACATTAAGGGAGTATTATAGCGGTGTTTTTGATGAATTTCAAACCTTCAGGTACTAATAATAATTTTACAGAATACAATCCAACCGACCGATCCAACTGGCCAAATCAGAAACCGGACCCTTGAATGGGTCATAGTCCGATCCGATTTTTAAAACATTGCTTTCGAGACCCTGAAACTATCGATCGAATAAAAGCTTTAGTGACCACCCTTATTAAAGGTTATGGAGACTCAAACTCGAAAGACCATACTAGATCTTCCTTTGTTCTTTTACTATTAGACCGTCCAAGGGTGATTAATGTGTACTCATTGTATTAAAGAGTTTCTCATCGAATATTATTTTGGCTTAATATTAACACTGAATTGATCCTTTTTCTAGGCAAATATGGTAAATTTTTCAATGGGACAAATATCCCACTAATGATTTTTCTTATCAAAATTAATATCTTAAATGGATGAGTTGGTTATAAAATATTGTGCGCCATACTTAGTTGGAAGATTAGTGAGTGAAAAGACGGCCAACAGAAAAAGAGAAGAAGTAGACCAAATATTTCAGCATTTTGAAAAAGCACAAAGGCTTGTTGTTAGAAATAAATATTTATATACATATATAATTAAATCCTACACCAATTACAACTTTCAAATGCTGGTTTGGTTACCACCCAACCATAAAAGCGCCTCCTCCTACCGAATGAACCAGACAAAAGAAAAAAGCCCATTAATTCGCAATTGCCACTCACCTTCGCTGACTCCGACCACTCAGTTTTTTTTATAATCTTTTTTCACACTTTTAACGTAATAGTTTACAATTGATTAGTCTCAATTTATTAGATATGATCAATTGAGAGCTGATTAATTAAAAACTATTATATTATAATTATGAGAGAAAGTTTATAAAAAAATATAATAAACGTAGCATTTTCCTTTTTTTACTTGAAGGTAACGGACACATTATAACTTAAGGAAGGTTCTCAAATTTCATTTATACCCTTCAATTTTTACCCTGACTTTAAGGTTTTCAATGTTGTTTAGAAGGGTATTAATGTAATTTCAGTGTGCTCATATTATTTTATAAATACATTTTTTTTTTTACATTAATTCCTCCATACAAATGGGCAATTTCTTCTTCTTCTTCTTTTTTATGAACGTTCTAATATTTATAAAAAGTTTACTTGAATAAAGCTTTTCTACAAATCCCAATGCTGAAAATGAATAATTTGGGAACACATAGAGTGTACATCTTAAGATTTTTCTTTTTCTTTTTATGACTAGACGTGTTTGGGACAGTTTACGCATACTTTAACTAATTTCTCAGAATCCTAAAATTATCAACTGGATAAGAGCTCCAGTGGTTACCCTATTAGTAACCAAGGAATTACTCAAACTCAAAACATCTTGAGTAAAACATCTAAAAGTCTCTATCGAACATCAAAGATTCTTATTAGGAAGGTTTTATAAAATTGCCATCACAAGGAAGATTAGGCACGAAATTATTAAAACACCACATCAAAATAAGACTATGGTTTATATCCGAGACAAAATAATCAGTACAACTTTATTATATATATTCGCTTTCTTATAACTAGATAAAAATAAAACTCTGTATACTTATAACATAAAATTGAAAATTCGATGAATTATCTTTAAAAATGAGCTACCAAATGAAGCCAATATGAAAACAAATAATTGGGTTGAGGGCCACAAAATAATAAATGCAACTAAGATTCTGTCTGTATACTTATAACATAAAATTGAAAATTCAATGAATTATCTTTAAAAATGAGCTACCAAATGAAGCCAATATGCAAATAAATAATTGGGTTGAGGGCCATACAATAATAAATGCAACTAAGATTCTGTTCGGAAGCTTTCACGAAATTTGTCCGTACAATGAGCATTAGGCTCCAAAATGATTAAATCGCCCCACCAAGACTCGACAATGCCACCTCTATAGTGTCTTCACGACAAAATACATCTTCATCATATATTTGCTACTTTTTAGCACATAAAACTCAACGTTATCAACACCCCCCATAGATTTAAAATTAACTAAAACACCCCAACTACTTAAGAGAACAGTCGGCCGCCCGACCACTAGCATTGGACGGTAGTCGACAACCTTTCATGACTAACTATATCTAACCAGTCGTACACCAATCTGGCCGTTTTTTAGTTAGATCTATCGTAAATCTGGTCAAAAACATCTATGGTGAGATCTTTGGCAGTTAATATCTGAATCTAGCCAAAATTTGGCAGTCAATAGCCAGATTAATGCACGATTGGTCGGATTCAACAAGTTGTGTGTCGTTTTAGCCACGACGATCGACGATGGTTGCTAGCAGGTGGTGGTGATGGTCTTGGGTGAATTAATTTTCAGATTGAAAGGAAATGAAAGATAATTATTTTTAGATAAATATAATTGTTAAAATATTTTGAGTTGAATATAACATAATAATAAAAAATAAGTCCCATCTACTTTTAATTTTGAGACAAAAAATCCTATTCCAGATCACTTATTCTACTTGCTAATTCAAATAGAGTAATAAAATAATGATTCAAAATAGTACAATAAACACGTGTCTTTTACCAAATCCACATTTTGTATCCACTTTAATTAGAAACATTTTTCACGAGATATTCCCTGCTGTCAGTATCGGTATCGCCTGGTACAAAGTGTTATTAAAGAGGGTGAAGGTGGAGGAGACAACTTGTCCTAAAAACCCACTCAAAGGACATTAAGAATGGATGCATTTTGTGTCATGTCCCACTCCTATGTAGTAATTCATTTAAATGTAATAAGAATGGAAGCCAAAACATTTTTCTATTAATGTGGTGCGGCTAAAACGTGAAGTTGAAAATTGAAAATGAGAACGCAAATCTCGGCTTATAGACTTTGACTTAAAGAAAATCTTCTAGAACCGACGTCCCCCTCTTAAATTTTCTTTTTTTCGTGAATATGATGTCACAAGAATTCAACAGCGTGCACGCGTTGTATAAAGGAATGTTACATCCATTACATTACACGTATAAATTTCTCAAAAAAGGAGAAAAATGACTGATGTGTATGTTTTATTATTTTGAATAGTATTTTTAAAATATTATTGGTAAGTAGAGTTTGGTGATTATTACGAAGTAGAATTTAAAAATTAACAAAAAATCCTTAAATTTGTTAATTTAACTTAACACCTTAATGTATAATTTTTTTGTAAAATGATAAAAATACCCCTACCACACATAATTGCCAGATTTCAGCTACTATTGTCGAAATTTAGTGGGTTGTGCGTCAAGATGACTTTTTCTAGTCCGGTCCATCGTGAATCTGGCCGAAAAAAGCTAGATCTGGTCGTGTTTGTTCGTCAACGACGGTCAAAGATATGACTGTCGTTGATGGTCAACGATGACCATGTCTTGGCCGTCGTTGAAGACCAGCTACGGCCAAAGATCTGGCCATAGATCTAGCATTTTTCGATCAAATCTATGGTAAATGATAGATCGACGCACTATCGGCCAGATCCAGCCAGTAGTGTGTCATTATACCAGATTTTGGCTACCTTCCGATGGTGATGGCTGGAATCTGACAAATGTGGATGGGTGGGATGTTTTTGTCAATTTCTAAACTTTTTTTAGGTGGTGTTTAATTAAATTAATAAACTTAAGGGGTTTAAAAAGTTGAATAAAATATAATAGTATTTTTAGAATAGGAAAACAAACGTGTATTTTAGAAATATATTAATAAGATAGAGAAAAATAATTAAACAAACGGACCGTCATGTTTATTTTAAAATTCCTATGTTAAATGATATGTTATTTTATAAGTCACACGCTTATAATATTTTGTCACATAAATTCATTATTTATATGTAAAACAATTTTTTTCTTTTCTTTTTTTGGGGATAATTTTGCTACATTTAATTTTAAGTTGAAACAATATATATACAGTTAAACCTCGATAAATTAATAACTTCGCTTAAATAATATTTTTTGCCAATCTTGACTTGGGACTAATGTGTAAATTAATAATTTGTTATGTTTATAAGATAATATATTTTAATAAAAACACTTAGGTATCACTTAATATATAAATTAATAATCTCTTTGTATATCAAAATTATATATACATGACTTATTTAGAAGGTCTTTGAGCTATTTCCTATATGGCATTAACTATAAGCTATTATTTGTATCATATTAACTCTTAGCTGTAAACTAGGTTGATTATGTTATTTCCAACAACTAAACCTTATATAACATTAACTATACACAATATATATGTATTAATTTCAAAGTTTTGGAAAAAAAAATTAAAAAAATGACTCAATAAATTATTAATTTATACGATTGAATAATATATCATTTAATTAGTAAATTTTTGTTGGAAGTGAGAAATAAATCAGCGATAAGTGGAGGCAAACTGAAATGAAAGTGAAAAGGAGAGAGCTATAAATTTGCTTGGCTAAGAGTGGATAGGATGTGACTGTTTCTTCTCTATTTCCCAGCTTGGCTACTTTTCCTTTCGTCAAGTGAGTTTATGTTACCTAAATTACCATTCTGTAAATTAATTAATCAACAGATTAAATTATGAGCTTAATTAAACAGTGACTATGATCATCAGAAGGCAATCCTCATATTGCAGCATCCACCGCGGGTGTCTGGACCTTGTTTTTTGCTTACAAACCTTCGTATTTCTTGACAATTGTCATCACTGTGAGCTAAACTTATAATTATATGCCATACCAGTTAATGTGTATAAGTTCCACGTGCATTGTAGTATACCTTCCACGCACGTTTTACATTCTTCTTTTATAAATTAACGTTAATGTATGTACCTTTACATGCGTCGTGATGTGTGCTCTTTTTTTTTTTTTTAATAATTGGGATGTCCGGACTAGTTTGTGTGCATCCAACTAATCTTTGGACAATGTTCTGAAAAACGGACTGTCCGGTCGGACCAGTTCGATGGGAGCTGGACAGTTTCCGGTCCGGTATCCAGAAAACTAGATTTACCGTTAAACCGGATTGAGCCGCGATTAGACCGTCGAATACTGTCGAGTCATGGTCCAATCGCCGCTCAATCCCGCCGGATTACAACATCGTTCGATGGAGAAAACACCACCATTCGACGTGACAGCATTCCAAGACCAAACCATCCATTTTCAGTGGTCATGTCCAGCCTTCGTCGTCACCGTCCACCTAACGTTTACGCGACCGTGGATTTCTTTGTTGATTCCAGCGAGTTCGACGCCGATGAAACTCACTAGCACCACCATCATATCGCGCAACACCTATACATCAAAAGCCCCATGATTCCAACTTCGATGGCCATGAGTCACGCCGCCACCACTCCACTAGTCTCTTCGAGCGACAGGGGTCTTTTAGATAGATTTCAAACCTTAAGGGAGTATTATAGGGGTGTTTTTGATGAAGTTCAAACTTTCAGGGACTAAAATAATTTTACAGAATACGGTCCACAACGACCGAGCCAACCGGTCTAACAGGAAACCGGACCCTTGAATGGGTCATAAGCCGGTCCGGCTTTCGAAACATTGCTTTTGAGACCCTAAAACATCGATCGAATAAGAGCTTCAGTGACCACTCTTATTAGAGGTTATGGGACTCAAACCGGAATACCATGTTAGATATTCCCTTGTTCTTTTACTATTAGACCGTCCAAGGGTGATTAATGTGTACTCGTTGTATTAAAGAGTTTCTCATCGAATATTATTTTGGCTTAATATTAACACTGAATTGATCCTTTTTCTAGGCAAATATGGTAAATTTTTCAATGGGACAAAATATCCCCTAATGATTTTTCTTATCAAAATTAATATCTTAAATGGATGAGTTGGTTATAAAATATTGTGCGCCATACTTAGTTGGAAGATAGTGAGTGAAAGACGGCCAAAGAAAAAGAGAAGAAGTAGACCAAATATTTCAGCATTTTGAAAAAGCACAAAGGCTTGTTGTTAGAAATAAATATTTTATACATAATAATAAATCTACACCAATTACAACTTTCAAATGCGGTTTGGTTACCACCCAACCATAAAAGCGCCTCTCCCTACCGAATGAACCAGACAAAAGAAAAGCCCATTAATTCGCAATTGCCACTCACCTCGCTGACTCCGACCACTCAGTTTTTTTATAATCTTTTTTCACACTTTAACGTAATAGTTTACAATTGATTAGTCTCAATTATTAGATATGATCAATTGAGAGCTGATTAATTAAAAACTATTATATTATAATTATGAGAGAAAGTTTATAAAAAAAATAATAAACGTAGCATTTTCCTTTTTTTACTTGAAGGTAACGGACACATTATAACTTAGGAAGGTTCTCAAATTTCATTATACCCTTCAATTTTACCCTGACTTTAAGGTTTCAATGGTGTTTAGAAGGGTATAATGTAATTTCAGTGTGTCATATTATTTTATAAATACATTTTTTTTTTTACATTAATTCCTCCATACAAATGGGCAATTTCTTCTTCTTCTCTTTTTTATGAACGTTCTAATATTTATAAAAGTTTACTTGAATAAAGCTTTTCTACAAATCCCAATGCTGAAAATGAATAATTTGGGAACACATAGAGTGTACATCTTAGATTTTCTTTTTCTTTTATGACTAGACGTGTTTGGGACAGTTTACGCATACTAACTAATTTCTCAGAATCCTAAAATTATCAAATGGATAAGAGCTCCAGTGGTTACCCTATTAGTAACAAGAATTACTCAAACTCAAAACATCTTGAGTAAAACATCTAAAGTCTCTATCGAACATCAAAGATTCTTATTAGGAGGTTTTATAAATTGCCATCACAAGGAAGATTAGGCTCGAAATTATTAAAACACCACATCAAAATAAGACTATGGTTATATCCGAGAAAAATAATAGGTACAACTTATTATATATATTCGCTTTCTTATACTAGATAAAAATAAAACTCTATATATATAACATAAAATTGAAAATTCAATGAATTATTTTAAAAATGAGCTACCAAATGAAGCCAATATGAAATAAATAATTGGATTTGGGTTGAGGGCCACACAATAATAAATGCAACTAGATTCTGTTCGGAAGCTTTCACGACTTAAAAATGCAGATGAACTAACTGAAGCATAATTAGAATCCTGAGTGGGCGCACATCGGTTGCATTGACAAGGCACCCAAAACAAATCACTTCCCGTGTCAAGGGCAACCATAAACTTCACTCCAGGCGTCCCCAACTGAATCGTCGTGTAATGCAAGCTAAAAATTATATATCACGAAAAAACAAAAAAAAAACGTAAATCAAGAACTTTCAAAAAGGAAATGTATTTAACTAAATAAAAGCAAAATATTTACTTACAATCCTAATGAGTTGATTTGCAAAGTAGAGTTCCCATCGGCGAAAGAAAGTGGTGGCTCGTTAGTATCAGCGAGGTGACGACCACGTAGAAGCCGATCGTGGTGAGCCAAAACGGCGTAGTATTCGTAGGTACCTTTGGGCTGCCAATGAGACGAGTTAAATAAGTTCTCGATAGACTCGGAGAAGCGGTGGTGCATCTTGAAGCTGAAGATGCGGCCATTGATACAGATTGGACCGAAAAAGGCCGCCCAGATTAGGAGCAAGAAGAGAAAGAATTTCAAGAAACAAGAAGTCATTTGATTGATTAATTAAATTTCAATAATACGAAATAGGGAAAGTTGAAACCCTAAAATTAGATCTTGGTTTGTTAAAAGAGAGCTTCAAGTTTGTTGGGGAGAGTGGAACTGTACAGGCATGTGCAGAGAGTGGGACCGGCTTTTGACAGTTGATTGAGGTGGTTGAAAGGGCGGGATTCTTTTTTTTTTGATCGTTTTGTCGTTTTGTCGTTTTTTATTTTTATTTTTTTTGTCGTTTTGTACTTTTGTTAAATTCAGAGATATCTTATTTCAATATTTATTTTGGCTTTCTTATACAAGGCCATGAAAAAATTAAACGAAAAATTACCAAAAACCCTTATAAAGTATAAGGACTCCGTCCGTGATAACCCAGATGGTTAGGACAAATTCAAGATAATATAAGTGGATGTATGATCTCAAGTTAGACCATCGTTCACTTTGTTGCAAAGAAAAGCAAATGGAATTTATGATAAGGGAAGAAGGATTGTAAGGCAGCCTGGAGGCAGGCATAGGGGTGAAAATTGAGCCGAGCCGCTCAAACTCATCCCGATTTTGGCTTAAACTTGACTCACCATTAGTCGAGTTCAAGTTCAAGTAATTCGAGTAGTCATTTGAGTCGAGTTTGATCACGGTAGAATTCAAATTCGAATAAAACTTAACTAAAACTCGATTATATGAACACATATTCCAATTTCAGGTACCGAATTTGAGTTCAAACTTGATTTTTCAAACTCAATTTTTCAAACTCAATCAGGCTCGAACTTGAACTAGAATTAGGTATTATAGCACTGGAGTTGAGTTCCAGATACTCAACTTAGTTTCACCCCACAGGCGACTTATGACATAAGAGAAAACCAAGCTCACATTCCAGAATCTAAACACAAAGGATTTTATAATGCAGCCAAATCTTAATGGAGAAACTAGAAAACCTCGATAAAACAGAAACAAAAAGTGGAAATCAAGAAACCATTTTCAAAGCCAATTAATATATACAAAAGGCACATATGGGTCTATTTCATTTCATACTATTTACAAAGACGAGAGTTTAACATGAGAAAAATACAACATACTTGATACTAAATACTGGTCTGGTCTGGTTTCAGGGTAATAAAAATTCACATTCTAACAATGAAATAGTGAACACCTTAAATCTAAATCCAATTTTTTCTTAAACTGGTGAGGCAGAAGTGATCCCAAACTTATCAGAAAGTTTGGTTCTTGTAAATGGTGAAAGTAGCTCCATCTGATGAATGAACTGCACATCATTCACCAAAGGGTTTTCAGTTCTTCTTGGAGGAGATCCTGAGTAGCAAGATGGGGAGCACCCACTACAAATTGATTCCTTTCCTTCAATTTGCTGCAACCAACAGTCAAATCGTGTTCAAACAAAAAACAATAAAGTTAAAGCCAGATTGTAAAAGTTAAGAAAGCAGAAAACATTGAATGAACTAACTACCACTAACCTTCTCACCAATCATGTTTAAAACTTCCATTCTTCCATCAGCATTCACTTGGCTGTTACCAAAGCAACAAACAAGAGAACTGTGAGACAAATACATGTAAAACTCTAATCTAACAATTCATCGATCAAACAAACCTGTGTTTGTTGCATCTGTGGGGCTTGAGAAATTCAGGAATGGCAGGGCTCGGCCGGCGAGGTTTCGGGCAAAGTGGCCGGTCGTTTGTCTCTTTGCCGGAGTCGATATTCTTAAGATTGCTTTTAACTGGCTTGAACTGATGCATATTTTCTGTCCTTTTACACTTCGATGAAGAAGGAGAAGAAAAAAGAATAAGCAAATGCAAGCCCCATCTGAGCACGAGAGAACATAATGTGTATATATATATATATATATACACAGAGATAAAATGGTGAGTGATTAACAATTGAACTCTTCTGAAATCAGGCAGAGAAAGAGAAAGAGAAATACAGAGAGAAGAGAGAGAGTTGGAAGTGAGAAATAAATCAGCGATAAGTGGAGGCAAACTGAAATGAAAGTGAAAAGGAGAGAGCTATAAATTTGCTTGGCTAAGAGTGGATTTAGGATGTGACTGTTTCTTCTCTATTTCCCAGCTTGGCCTACTTTTCCTTTCGTCCAAGTGAGTTTATGTTACCTTAAATTACCATCTTCTGTAAATTAATTAATTAATCAACAGATTAAATTATGAGCTTAATTAAACAGTGACTATGATCATCATGAAGGCAATCCTCATATTTGCAGCATCCACCGCCGGGTGTTCTGGACCTTGTTTTTTGCTTACAAACCTTCGTATTTCTTGACAATTGTCATCACTGTGAGCTAAACTTATAATTATATGCCATACCACGTTAATGTGTATAAGTTCCACGTGCATTGTAGTATACCTTCCACGCACGTTTTACATTCTTCTTTTATAAATCTAACGTTAATGTATGTACCTTTTACATGCGTCGTGATGTGTGCTCTTTTTTTTTTTTTTTTAATAATTGGGATGTCCGGACTAGTTTGTGTGCATCACAACTAATCTTTTGGACAATGTTCTGAAAACCGGACTGTCCGGTCGGACCAGTTCGATCGGGAGCTGACCGTATTTCCGGTCCGGTATCTCAGAAAAACTAGCATTTACCGTTAAACCGGATTGAGCCGCGATTAGACCGTCGGAATACTGTCGAGTCATGGTCCAATCGCAGCTCAATCCCGCCGGATTACAACATCGTTCGATGGAGAAAACACCACCATTCGACGTGACAGCATCTCCAAGACCAAACCCATCCATTTTCAGTGGTCATCGTCCAGCCTTCGTCGCTCACCGTCCACCTAACGTTTACGCGACCGTCGGATTTCTTTTGTTGATTCCAGCGAGTTCCGACGCCGATGAAACTCACTAGCACCACCATCATATTCGCCAACACCTATACATCAAAAGCCCCATGATTCCAACTTCGATTGGCCATTGATCGTCACTGCCGCCACCACTCACTAGTCTCTTCGAGCGACAGGGGTCTTTTAGATAGATTTCAAACCTTAAGGGAGTATTATAGGGGTGTTTTTGATGAAGTTCAAACTTTCAGGGACTAAAATAATTTTACAGAATACGGTCCAACCGACCGAGCCAACCGGTCTAACAGGAAACCGGACCCTTGAATGGGTCATAAGCCGGTCCGGCTTTCGAAACATTGCTTTTGAGACCCTAAAACTATCGATCGAATAAGAGCTTCAGTGACCACTCTTATTAGAGGTTATGGGGACTCAAACTCGGAATACCATGTTAGATATTCCCTTGTTCTTTTACTATTAGACCGTCCAAGGGTGATTAATGTGTACTCGTTGTATTAAAGAGTTTCTCATCGAATATTATTTTGGCTTAATATTAACACTGAATTGATCCTTTTTCTAGGCAAATATGGTAAATTTTTCAATGGGACAAATATCCCACTAATGATTTTTCTTATCAAAATTAATATCTTAAATGGATGAGTTGGTTATAAAATATTGTGCGCCATATTTAGTTGGAAGATTAGTGAGTGAAAAGACGGCCAACAGAAAAAGAGAAGAAGTAGACCAAATATTTCAGCCTTTTGAAAAAGCACAAAGGCTTGTTGTTAGAAATAAATATTTATATACATATATAATTAAATCCTACACCAATTATAACTTTCAAAAGCTGGTTTGGTTACCACCCAACCATAAAAGCGCCTCCTCCTACCGAACGAACCAGACAAAAGAAAAAAGCCCATTAATTCGCAATTGCCACTCACCTTCGCTGACTCCGACCACTCAGTTTTTTTTATAATCTTTTTTCACACTTTTAACGTAATAGTTTACAATTGATTAGTCTCAATTTATTAGATATGATCAATTGAGAGCTGATTAATTAAAAACTATTATATTATAATTATGAGAGAAAGTTTATAAAAAAATATAATAAACGTAGCATTTTCCTTTTTTTACTTGAAGGTAACGGACACATTATAACTTAAGGAAGGTTCTCAAATTTCATTTATACCCTTCAATTTTTACCCTGACTTTAAGGTTTTCAATGTTGTTTAGAAGGGTATTAATGTAATTTCAGTGTGCTCATATTATTTTATAAATACATTTTTTTTTTTACATTAATTCCTCCATACAAATGGGCAATTTCTTCTTCTTCTTCTTTTTTATGAACGTTCTAATATTTATAAAAAGTTTACTTGAATAAAGCTTTTCTACAAATCCCAATGCTGAAAATGAATAATTTGGGAACACATAGAGTGTACATCTTAAGATTTTTCTTTTTCTTTTTATGACTAGACGTGTTTGGGACAGTTTACGCATACTTTAACTAATTTCTCAGAATCCTAAAATTATCAACTGGATAAGAGCTCCAGTGGTTACCCTATTAGTAACCAAGGAATTACTCAAACTCAAAACATCTTGAGTAAAACATCTAAAAGTCTCTATCGAACATCAAAGATTCTTATTAGGAAGGTTTTATAAAATTGCCATCACAAGGAAGATTAGGCTCGAAATTATTAAAACACCACATCAAAATAAGACTATGGTTTATATCCGAGACAAAATAATAGGTACAACTTTATTATATATATTCGCTTTCTTATAACTAGATAAAAATAAAACTCTATATATTTATAACATAAAATTGAAAATTCAATGAATTATCTTTAAAAATGAGCTACCAAATGAAGCCAATATGAAAATAAATAATTGGATTTGGGTTGAGGGCCACACAATAATAAATGCAACTAAGATTCTGTTCGGAAGCTTTCACGAAATTTGTCCATACAATGAGCATTAGGCTCCAAAATGATTAAATCACCCCACCAAGACTCGACAATGCCACCTCCGTAGTGTCTTCACGACAAAATACATCTTCATCATATATTTGCTACTTTTTAGCGCATAAAACTAAACATTTGAACACCCCCCACATATTTAAAATTAACTAAAACACCCCAACCACCTAAGAGGATAGTCAATCGTCCGACCACTAACGTTGGACGGTAGTCGACAACCTTTCATGACTAACTATATCTAGATAGTCGTGCACTAATCTGGTAGTTTTTTGACCAGATCTATCGTAAATCTGGTAGGAAACATCTATAGCGAGATCTTTGGCACTTAATGGCTGAATCTAGCAAAAATCTAGCAGTCAACAGTTAGATTAGTGTACAATCGGCCAGATTCGACAAGTTATACGTCGTTCCAGCCACAGCGATCGACGATGGTTGCTAGCAGGTGGTGGTGGTGGTCTTGAGTAGATTAATTTTCAGATTAGAAGGGAATGAAAGATAATTATTTTTAGTTAAATAGAGTTGTAAAAATGTTTTGAGTTGAACATAACAGAATAACAAAAAATAATCTCCACCCACTTTTAATTTTAAGATAAAAAACCCTATTCAAGTCGGATTAATTTTTTTAAATGAATTTGCCTAATAAGTAAACATAATCTAAATAGAATAATAAAATAATGATTCAAAATAGTGTAACACGTGGCTTTTACCAAATCCACATTTTGTATCCACTTTAATTACAAACATTTTTCACGAGACATTCCCTGCTGTCAGTATCGGTATCGCCTGACACAAAGTGTTATTAAAGAGGGTGAAGGTGGAGGAGACAACTTGTCCTAAAAACCCACTCAAACGACATTAAGAATGGATGCATTTTGTGTCATGTCCCACTCTATGTAGTAATTCATTTAAATGTATTAAGAATGGAAGCCAAAACTTTTTTCTATTAATGTGGTGCGGCTAAAACGTGAAGTTGAAAATTTAAAATGAGAACGCAAATCTCGGTTTATAGACTTTGACTTAAGAAAATCTTCTAGAACCGACCTCCCCCTCTTAAATTTTCTTTTTTTCGTGAATATGATGTCACAAGAATTCAACAGCGTGCACGCGTTGTATAAAGTAATGTTACATACATTACATTACACGTATAAATTTCTCAAAAAAGAAGAAAAAATGACAGGTGTGTTTGTTTTATTATTTTGAATAGTATTTTTGAAATATTATTGGTAAGTAGAGTTTGGTGATTATTACAAGGTAGAATTTAAAAATTAATAAAAAAATTCCTAATTTTTTTGTAAAATGATAAAAACACCCCCATCACACACAATTACCAGATTTTGGCCACCACTGTTGAAATTTAGCGTGTCGTTGTGTCGAGATGACCTTTTCTAGCCAGGTACACCGTGAATTTGACCAAAAAAAGCTAGATTTACGGTCAGATCTGGCCGTGAACCACGACCAAAGATATGACTATCGTTGATGGTCAACGATGGCCATGTCTTGGCCGTCGTTGAAGACCAACTATGGCCAAAGATCTGGCAGTGGATTTGGTCGGTAAATGATAGATCGACGCACTATCGGCCAGATCTAACCAGTAGTGTGCCATTATAGCAGATTTTAGCTATCTTTCGATGGTGATGGTTGGAATCTGGCAAATGTCGATGGGTGGGGGTGTTTTTATTAATTTTTAAATTTTTTTGGGGAGTGTTTAGTTAAATTAATAAACTTAAGAGGTTTAAAAAGTAGAATAAAATAGAATAGTATTTTTAGAATAGGGAAACAAACGTGTATTTTTGAAATAGTATTAATAGGATAGGGAAAAATAATTAAACAAACGGACCGGTCATGTTTATTTTAAAATTCTTATGTGAAATGATATGTTATTTTATAAGTCACACGCTTATAATATTTTGTCACATAAATTCATTATTTATATGTAATACAATTTTTTTCTTTTTTCCTTTTTGTTTTTTGGGATAATTTTGCTACATTTAATTTTAAGTTGAAAAAATATATATACAATTAAACCTCAATAAATTAATAATTTCGCTTAAATAATATTTTTTGCCAATCTTGACTTGGGACTAATGTGGTAAATTAATAATTTGTTATGTTTATAAGATAATATATTTTAATAAAAACACATAGGTATCACTTAATATATAAATTAATAATCTCTTTGTATATCAAAATTATATATAC